TCTTTATTCAAACAATTCCATATACATGATGAACGATAGAAACTGTACCAAGATCCTGTTTTTCAAAGGCCTTTATTTACTATCCTTCATACTAAATTATAGATTACACAAAACACAGTGTAGGCCAGAAGAATGGAAGGGGACTTGCACTGTCGTCATCGCACATAGCAGGCCCTAGCACTGTACCACTAAGCCCACATAGTTTATAAATATGGATATTACAATAAGCAGAAACTTCAGGACTTTGGGAATAGAAACAGTAGGGTCACAGTTCGTGTCGTGATACAACTTGTCTCGGAAGTGTTGCTTGTAAGCTGCAAGAGGTTACAGACTGGGCTGCTAGATGCACTCACGAACAGTTCTTCCAGTTTATGCTGGAGGAACCTGATAAATATTTGACCATTCTTCTGTGAGTTCATTGTCAATTTTTGGAGGAATTTATGATTTGGAAAAGGCGATATGATTCAGGGTAGATAGTGCTGGGGCCAATTGCGGCAGATGCTATAGTGAATGCTTGGGTGGTGGCAAAGGTGTGGGATTAAAAGATAAAGAATCTCGATTGCCTGAAATTTGCCTCGGCTCAAGATAGTGTACATTTCTTTGAACTCCAATCATTTCTGTAAACCCCACATTGTAACCTTTGCAAAGTAATAAATACAGTGGACCCCCGGTTAATGATTTTATCCGTGCAAGAGGGTAATTTTTTATGCGGAATAATCGTTATGTGAATGAATTTTCCCCATAAGAAAAAATGGATATACAAATTAGTCGTGCAAGACACCCAAAAGTATGAAAAAAAAATTTTTGTTACCACATGAAATATAATTTTAATAAACAAACTGAAAAAAGGGCACAATGCACACTTACATGACACTGACTTTTATGAAGACTGGTGCTGATTGATGGGATGGGGAGGAGGGACGAGCATTATCCTTCTTACGGTTTAGAAGGGGAATCCCACTTCCATTGGACCTTGAGGTTGCAAGCCGTTTCTGGGCGTTACTTCCTTCGTCTTTTAATGCACTAGAGGCCAGCTTCAGAGTCACTGGACTTCTTCGCACAAGATATCTTTCCCTGTGGAAGTACTCTCTGATTCCTTTTATCACTTCCCTAAAGTGCGCGTCACAACTTTTGTAGTGTACAGGGTTGCAACACGGCTGGCAAAAGCTTGTGTGAGGGTGATTTTATCCTGAAGGTTTGACACTCAAGCCACCTTTGCACAGATTTCCTTTATCTTTGTGTAGGCAACTTCTTCCATTTCTCTCTCCACTCCTCTGAACAGTTTCCCAGGTTCTGCCTCTGGCTCTTGAAGTTGATCTAATCAGCTCATCAGTGGTTAGTTCTTCTTGTCCTCCTCCACCAACTCTTCACATCCTCCCATACCTCAACCCAAGGACTTTCCCAATGCACACAATGATTCCTCAACGGGCCACAGGATTCTAAGGGTAAGCTCAAACCCTATCAAAATCCTTTGTGTCTACACATTCTGGCCACTCGGTTTATTCTTCCAAGCAGGAAGGTTTTTTTTTCCCATAGGTCCTCTTTAGTCCTCTCCAGCCTTACCTATAAGGTTTACACAATTTGAGGATATTAAAAGTGATCTTCCAAAAACTTCTTTGAGTCAGTTGAGTTTTGCAGGTCACTTACAAAGCACCTTTCAAACAGATCTTTTGTGTACAGTTTTCTTGAAGTTGGAAATAACCTGCTGGTCCAGGGGTCTGCAGGAGAGGAGTTGGTATTAGGGAGGCAAAATTGATGTTAAGGAATTCATGTCCACATAAAGTCGCTCTGCCACGTCTGTAGGATGACCAGGGGCATTGTCTCACCACCAGGGAGGCATTAACGTTTCTAATTTTTTTGTAGGTAATCTTTCACATTGGGGCAAATGCATGGTTAACCAGTTATGAAAATTCCATTGGACCCATTGCTTACTGTTTGCCTCCACAGCACACAAAATTATCCTTCGTGAGGACATTCTTTTGCCTGAACGCTCTGGGGTTCAGAGTTGTAGACACTATACAATGCTTCACTTTGCATCCAGTAGCATTGGCACACATGAGGAAGAGTAAGCCGTTTTCATAGGCTTATGTCCTGGGGTGCCTTTTCCTCCTCGAGTATGTAGGTTCCTGCTTGGATTTTCTGCCAGAACGGCCTGTTTCATTATCACAATTAAACACTTGTTAAGGTTTCTGTCCTTCTGTTCTATGTTCGCCTTGAATTCCTGCACATATTTTTCAGCCGCTTTGTGAGTCCGAGTGGCAGCATCACCATGCCTTGTCTCATATGGGATGCCACTACGCTTCTTAAATCTCTCAACCAACTTGCGGCCTTAAATTCACTAATTCATCACTAGTTGCAGGGCATTTTTTTAATTAATTCGTCATGCAACTTCGCGCCTGTTCACATATGAATCGTTGAGAGACGCTATCTCTGCTAGCTGTTTTTCATTTATCCCACCCATAGAGTTCTCAACATCTTCCATCATTGGGCTCTTGTTTCGAAAACACAGTTAAACCTTTGCAAAGAACGTTCCTGATTGTCTTTTTGGTGCCCACAATATTGCGATGGTTTGATTGGGGTTTCTGTACAACAGACTAGGTCGGGATAAGCACTCACTTTCATACTTATCCAATGATCTCTTTCTTCATTTAATGGGTACTCTTACCTTTATGGTGGACGGCTGGCACTAGCAGCTTTCTTGGGGCCCATTGGTCACTTTTTTTCCAGAAACGAGCACCGAAAACTCGGTAATAATACGAAATTATTCCGAGTGTATGCTTGGATGTTAGCGCGGTGAGGCTGGGCTGGTAAAACAAATGGCTGTACGGGCGGCACATGTGAGGCTGGCTGCGGGCGAACATTGGGACGCGTCTCGCGTAAACAAATCGTGTGAGCGGTTTTTAATCGGTATGCGCGGCAAAAATTTTGCGATTAAAGTAAGCCGGTATGCGATATAATCGCTATGTGATGCCAATCGGGGTTTTTGCGGGGGTCCACTGGTATTTTTACTAGTTATAGTGAGGTTGATTAGTGATTTTGCTTATGGGACCACTGCTTCTGGAGATTCTGAAGAGAAGCGGAAGAGGTTGGGGAGGATTTGGAAAGGGTATGTAAGAGGGAGGGAAATTAAAAATGAACATAGGAGTAATGGTGAAGGGATAAAAAATTTAGGTAATTATCGATTGGAGGGAGGATGGATTAGGTGATGTCAGTCTCAACTGGGCTTGTGAGGTCTTCGGGAGGACCTAATTATATGGTCACACCTTGCCTTGGGCAAACGTATGGTCAGAGCCACGACCTTCTCGGCTTATAGTCTCGGCTCCTTTGTTTGTCATTGCGTCAGGTTGTAAAAACGTGGTCTACGCTTCTGGGGAAGGGGGTGCTTAGAGAGAATTATTAGCCAGGGAACTGCTGAGCAAGGGTTGTTGGGAGACAGGTTCCGGGGAGCGAGAGCTCTAGACAGGCCGCTCGTGTGTAGAGACCAACATTGGAAAGATGATTCGTGTGTATTTGTATAGGTACCTTCTACTCGTAGGGAGCTTGTGGCTTAGCTCTTCTTTGTTATTATATTAATAATAAGTAATAATCTACTGCTAGGGGCTTGAATCTACTGGTTATGGCAGATGGTTGGGACCTAAAATGTGTTGTACATGATTGTGAGCTTTGCTCCTTGCTGGGAAGGGATCAACGTAGAGATAGGATGTACATGTGTTGCGTCTCCTGAATGGGTTACAATGTTATATGTGTATTACCTTTTTCATATAATTTTATATTGCGTATATTTGCGATAAAGCCGAAATCGTAAATATACTGCTTTATATTATTATTTGACTTAGTTAGATTATTAGGTAGAATGTAACATTTATGTGTATTATTCAGTGGCTCGATAGTTCGTCTTGATTGTCTAAAACTACTGTATTTATCGCTCAGTGCTCGTTTCCCTGCCGGGCTTCTGGGTGTTGCTGGGCAGCAACAGTCACGATGCTATCACGTGTTCGGGGGGGGGGGGGGGGGGTTCACACCGTGCAAGGAGTAGTCAGTCTTGGGTCTAGACTCTCTTGTCGGGACATTTTCCTGGGCAGGACGACCCACACTCTTCTCTCTTGTGGGCCCTTGTTGGAAGATCGTCTCTGTCGCTTTCTTGTTGTTGGTTCTGTGGAAACTTTGTTCACAGAACATTGCCTAGCTTAGCTGATTTTCGGACATGGTTACTGCGGTTGTGTGTCGCATAGACACTGAGAAACTCAGGTCCTGAGCTGTAGCTTCTTACCTAATTTGTACTGGTATCTGTGTACTGTCACAGTCGGGGATTTTCTTAGGCTGAACTTAGATTCAGTAGTATGGGAGTTTTGTGACTTCCGTGGAGGATCTGCAGATGGTCCCTACTTAGTGTTGTTATATTATCTCCTTGATCCTGATTCCGTGTCGCTGTTGCTTGTTATATTGTTGTTTGGCTTATCAGTCATTTTATTGTTCAAGCAAGCTGTTCTGATAGCCAGGTGGTAGCCACTAGTTAAGTCTAGTTGAGTTTTGAGACGTAGCGAACTACTTAGAGCACTTACACACATACACACAAACTTACTTGTACATATTTGTAATATCTTTTTTAAATGTTAATGTACCAGACGGTACTTAAGATGTGTAAATGTGGTATGTGCCTTCAGCACAATACTACTGTACACGAGAGAAGTGTAGGAACTTGTATCCTATATTATATTCAATTGATTAATTTAATTTACTTTGATCTTATACCTCTAGACTTTGTTATTAATAAATTTATTAAATTTTAATTTCTCTAGTTAGTAGCCTACCAGTTGTAATCCTGAAGCACTAATAATTCTTATTGAATTCTAATGGATAATTGGACCAGGATACTGACCATTTGTTACAAAAACCCAGTAACAGGCTGGATGCTAGAAGGGCAGTCCTTTCTAGTATTCACTGGAGATCTCTATGCTTATAAGAAATCGCATTTTTTGTAACATGTATTTCCTTTTCAGGTGGAAAACTGTAAACACCAATTGGCTCCCCGTCAGAAGAGGATTTCTTTTAGTTCTTAGAAATGGGATAATGATGGGTCCTGGTTGTGATTCCTGCCTTGTCACGAATGATCACGGTAGGGTTCAAGAAAAATGCGATATTGTGGTCGTGTAATGGTTCAGTTGCAAGTACTTGAAGGAATAATACCCGCTGGAGCTGTTTTCTACGCCAGGAAAACCTTACAAGGTTTGGCTCAATGGTTAATTAGCAAGGGTGACTACAGGAGCTAGTTTATTTCTAGTAAAGTACAGGAAGGCACTGGAGCCCGATATTTAGTTTTAAGGAGACATGACGAATAAGGAGGTTTCGCACCAGAGAGTCAGTTATTCGTTTCTTGTGCTAGAATTTATTAACTCTACTGATCAGTGAAAGTTACTTTATTTCATGCTAACATTTTAAAACTCCAGCTATGAGCCTGAAGTAGGAACATCCTATTAAAAACAAAAATCAGTTATTTTCCACATCTTGTCTAATAATCTACAAACCTGCATACAGTAACAAATGATCTGTTTCCTCTGAATGCATTAATTATTTAAAGGTACAGTATTCTGGATCGCTAAATAATTGATCCATTTGATCAGTTGGGTGAAAAATCTTATAATAATTAAACAAGCTATCCAAAAAAATTCTACACAATGTGTAATATGTATCACATATTTTTAACTGCAGATTAGCATTCACAAATACACACCTGCATTTTTTTAACACATTGGCAGTTTCTCACTTAGGTAGGGTGGTCCAAAGAAAAGGAAACACATTCACCATTATTCATTCAATTGCTATCTTGCCATAGGTTTTCTGACATCATAGTTCAGATATAGATAAATATTTCTGCAATACTATGTCTTTTGTACCTAGTTTGCAAGTCGATGTAACTCAAACATTCATAAGGGACCTTCATTTATCGTGTAAGTACGTTATATAACAAGTTCTATAAACTATAAAACCAAAATGCAGGTTTGGACTATCTGACCAGTCTACAAAATCTGAATACTCTAACTGGCTAAATATTTGGATGCATAGATATGGTACACCACTAATAACTGAATTATCACTATACAGCCTTCATGGGGAAGCAGTAAACCCATAAGGATCATAAACATGGTGAATGGAAGGTAACTAAGTATGATCTGATGATTAACCTTTGTGATGCTGGAATTATGGTTTCTTTATCAAACAATTCCATATACATGATGAAATGATATGAACTGTACCAAGTCCTGTTTTTCAAAGGGCCTTTACTTCTACTATCCTCATACTAAATTATAGATTCCCCAAAACACAGTGTAAGCAAAAATGGAAGGGGACTTAAACTTTCCATGCAATAGCGACCTAGCACTGAACATAGCCCATGTTTATAATAGAATTACAAAAAACAGAAACTTCCAAGGGATTTGGGATAAAACGTAGGGTCACAGTTGTGCTCGTGATACAAATTGTCGCGGAATGTTGCTTGAAGCTGGAGGTTTACAGCACGGGCCTGCTAGATGACTCACAAAACAGTTTTTTTCATCAGTTCTTCGTTTAGGGTGCAGGCGGGGCAATTTTCGCGCGCGCTCACCGAAAAATCGAAAAAAATATGGAATTGAGTTTATATACTGAAAAATAGCTCAACTTTTTGGGCAACACAAGTACCAAATAAATGTTCTACGACTTTTCTACAAAAAATTAAGTCTTTTTATATCAGTATGGTGACGGGATTTTGGGTACGGAGTCGCTCAGGGCCTTATATTTTTTGGAGTTATTTCTTTTTTTTTTATCCCCTTTTTCCCTTGCATTATTCTTTCTTTTTGTTTTTGGTTTGTGGGGATTTATGGGCAGATTAGTGATACCGGGAAAAGACGGGAACGCTCAGCAGGTTTGCCCCGAGGTCCCACCCAGGAACACCCCATTATTTCGTTATATCGTTTTAAATATCAACCAGGGCTTTTTGTCTAAAAATGATCAATATGATAAATAAACACTCAAAATAACATACAAACATTTTTAACTCTAGACTAAATAAAATACCCCTAATATGGCCCAGAGTTATCGGGAATATTTCGATATAAAGTGTAAGGGTTTCCCCTGTGTCTCGAGAAAGGAAAAGGGTGTTTAGAGGAACTGCCTAGAACATCTTTTTACTAAGAAATACACCCAAAAAACGGATTTTCGCGAAAAAAAATTTTTTTTTTTTGGAGCGGGGCCGGCCGGCGTTTTCCCCGGGATATCTCGGAAGTAATTATTCACCTTAAATTTTATGTGGGCCTTTATTACTTAAATTTAAAGGAAAAAAATTCACAGAATTGTGAAAAAATGATTTTTCTTTTTTTGACCCTAGAATTTTGGAAAATTTCCCCAAATACTTCGGGAGTTATGTGGGGGTAAAAAGGGAGATTTTTTTTCCATATTCCAGATACAAAAAAACTTTATTTTTTTGTGAAAAACGAAAGGTATTTAGAGGGAAATCTTTCGGTCCCAATTAGTATTAGCATTGTTCTCTCGGACCAAGGTTTTAAACCACCTTTGTGCCGCATTAAGAGTTTTAAACAACCCCAAGGGGGTTTTTAGTAAATCTTTTTCTCATTGTTGTTTGGGTATATTTTTTTAAAATTTTCAAGAAAGAGTGAGAACAATTTGTTTTGTGCACCAAAAGGAGAAAACGGGCGGTAAAAAAAGAAGTTACGAAATTTCCCCCCGCCCCCCCAAAGCTGGAAACATAAATATATGAACCCCATCTCAAGGTCCATGCAAATTTATCTAAAAAAAAAAAATTAAAAGGGTTAATTTGGGGTACAGGAGGATTAGGGTTTTTTTGAACAGCAGAGAATTAAGATAAGGTAAAATGGTTTTTTTTAGGAATTTTAGGATTGGAAAAGGATAGAAAGGGTAATAGGGGGCAATGCGGGAGAGCTATAAATGAATGCTTTTGGTGGTGGCAAAAAGGGGTGGGATTAAAAGATAAAGAAACTCGGTCTGCCCGAAAGCCTCGGCAAATTTGTGACTTTCTTTGCTCCAATCTATATGTAAACCCCCATTTTAAAAATTTGCAAAAAAAAAATATTTTATTAGTTATAAAGTGGGGGGTTT